GCTTGTTGGGCTTTATAATACTTGACTTACATATTGGGCCTATATTTTTCGTTTCTTTAAAATCAGGCCTATGTTTTGCTCTTTCAGAACTAATTATTTTTTAAAATTAATACAACAGAAAAAATAATTAATTATATATCATATCCACTAAAATTCCACAATTTGATAAATTTTATATTTTGTACGATTAAAATTTACATTCAGAATTTTGTTTTTATTGTAATGCCGCGAATTAAACTAATTTTTTTGTTTTTATGTTCACCGTATGTAGTATGTTATAGACCATTTTTCACATCATCTCTTTGCATGTAGACATTGTCAATCATCCTGATTACACACTTGTACAAACTCCCAATTCTCTAATAATAACAAATGACTTGTATTTTTTTTTTTTTTAAGTAATAAACAATCTTCAAAACTCCACTTTACAAATAAAAATGAAACAACAAAATGAGATCCAAAAAGAAAATAAAAAAAAAAACCCTTTGAAAGAAACAAACAAAAAACACCATGTTGGTCTTAACAAAATTCACTCATCGACTATAAATTCAAGGACCATAATGGCTTTTAGCCAAGAAAATCCAAAAAAAAAAAAAAAAGTGTTTGTTTATATGTACAAGAAAAACAAAGGATCTTGAATCAAACACTAGTAGAACTTGGATGTGTCTCAAAAGAAGGAGGCGTATGAGAAGAAGAAGAAGATGGTGAACCAATGGAGCCACGAATCCTGAATATTTCAAGAACAACAAAAGCAAGTAATGTCACTGCCAAAACAAATCCATAACCAATTTTCCAACCATCTCCTCCATTATTCGCGTATCGAATCCCAAGAACAATGTTCACTGCTGCAAAAAACAAAGAGATTCTTCCAATCCAATGATGATACCAATTCCAATATCTCCTCATCTTTGTCTCCTTTTGCGGCCTCGCAAAGAAAGCCAATACCTGAAAAAACAAAATTCTAGATACTTAAATCCATATTTGATCATTCTTAAACTCTGGAGACTACTAAGTTTTGATTCACAAACCTGAAGAATGCTAAGGACTAGAAGAAAGATCCCGATGCCTCGATGCGCAGGTATATCCGGTTGGATCTTATTGTAAAGCCGTATACCGAGAATAACAGCCGCTAAACCGAAGATAAAACCCGCGAATTGAAAACCGATATGAAGATAATACCAAAGAGGGTCTCTATGTCTAAGATATCTTGCTAGGATTGCTCCTAAAGGAAGCAAGAAACCCCATCCAAGTATCGCCATTATCCCATGCTTTGTCCTCTCCGTAGAAACGGTCGTATCTATCGATGTTCTTGCTCCACTTGCTGCATAGACCAAGAACACACAAGACGGAGTAAAGTATTGCACTTTCTTAAAATGTAGCAACAACATTTCAAGTCTAAAATGTAAAACGCTATTTTCTTTCTTTATTTTTGCGTTTAAAACAACTATGAAAACATTTTCAAATCTGTTAATCGAGATGCCAAAAACAAACTATGAATACCTTTTGAGAAATCGACTATAACTGTGGTTTTATCATCATGCTTACTCAAACGACCTAGCTTCGAAGGAAAAGTTGTGCTAAACGCAAGAATCACGGCTCTACGAGGAACTTTAACGGCGAATTTAACCTGAAAAGCTAAGTAAATCATTGCTCCGTGAAGAGCAACCACCGGAGGAACTTTTTGTAATTGTAACTCTCCTTGATCCGGCACAACTTGATCTCTCTCTGTTCCTTGGAGATAGTATTGATTGATTTTAGCATGACCCTTCTTTGAAATCCATCCAATCATCGCACTTGATCCAACCATTCTTCCATCTTTAGAGAATCCGATTCCGACCCATCCGGTTGTGTATAAAGCCGAGACTATTATCGTCATTACATTGTCTCTGTTTTCTGAGTACTGCAAAAACAGAGTAATTATAAACGCAAATACGAAATCAAAATCATGGGTTTGTGTAAAGGAATCGTTTTTTTAGTTACCCTTAAGACGAATGTGTTCCAGAGAGGTGTACAAGGCATTGAATCGGAGATGTTGTTGTAAGGTGGAGGGAGGAAATCGGATAATCTGTTTCCAAAACAGAGATTTTGAGACGAATCATTGATGACGTCATCTGCAACTAGAAAAGGTAGATCTTGTCCGATTAAGAGACAGATGAAGCAAAATCCAACAAGTGTTCTCATTGTTAGAACTTAGAATCGAAACAGAGAGGAGAAGCTAAGCATGGAGCGAGAAATAATGGAGCTAATGTTTGCTTGAAGGAGAAGAAGAAGAGTTTGGTGGTAAAAGTAGTTGAAGATGGCGATCAATCATAYTCATCAAATTGTTTAATTTTAAAATCTCTTCTTCTTCCATTGGATTTTTGAGAAAAGAGATTACTCTGGAGTTGATGTTTCACTGGTGAAGTATCGGACAATTTATGTCCCCTCTGGCAATAAATCGACACGTGAACCGACAAAATTCAAATGAAAATAATTGCTTTTTTGACAGTTTAAAACAATTGTTGAATTTTCTATATGAGGTTGAAAATTGTTTTATGAAAATCTTTTTTAAGATATTGAGAGAATCTGGAGTTTTTACTTTGCTTGTTTTGAGGAAAAA